CGCCGCGGTCCGAGGCCGCCGGGGTGTCCTGGGGACGAGCCCCGCGGGCTGGGATCGCTCCCTGGCACGGCCCTCTCTTGCAGAGGCCTTACGTCTGCGACTACGAGGGCTGCGGCAAAGCTTTCACCAGAGACTTCCACCGCGCCCGGCACCTGCTCACGCACACCGGGGAAAAGCCGTTCGAGTAAGGGCCAAGGGTTTACTTTTTGAGCTGGAGTTACAGCTGAGGGTGGCACAGAGCGTACATGCCGAGCTTTGGCATCCTGAGCGCTGCCCTGACACTGCACACAGGGCGGGACGTGGTGACCTCCTTAGCCTAAACCCTCCTGTCTGGCAGTGATCCACCGTACATGCTTAAAGCAATGGGCAGATCTCTCCCCAGAGTACATAATTAGAAGGAAGGGAGGTTATTTCCTATCACTAAGGCCTTAATAGCTGCGTGCCATGGATTAGGAGCTAGGAATTCCTTTGTGTTTTATTAAAAAGTATCTTCTCGTAACATTGTAACTTGATTGTAACTTAGCCTCTGGCTTTTCATGTCTTTAAAACAAACTTTTGTATTTGGGTTGGGAGTTTCAGTTATTCTTCATGTGTTCCTGTTGTCCTGTTATTCCTGATCTGCCTAGGGAACAAATCCCTGCTTGACAGCAGTAATAAAAGACCCTAGTTCATTTACAGGTGCACAGCTGATGGATGCAGGGAGAAATTTGGGACAAAATCAAACTTAAAGAAGCATGTTGAGCGCAAGCATCAAAATCAGCAAAAGCAATATGTGGTGAGTACATTACCTTTGTAAGGTAAAGTGGAGGCTAAACAAGCTCCTTTTTGTATATCTAAAGAAATGCTTCAGTTATGTGGTACTTGTATGAGTTCAAATACTGTGACTAGTGTTTCAGCAAAGACATGTGAACTGTCATTATATGGCCTTAATTTTGTCAACAGTGCGACTTTGAAGGCTGTAACAAGTCTTTCAGGAAGCATCAACAACTTAAAGTTCATCAGTGTCACCACACCAATGAACCTCCCTTCAAGTAGGTGGATAATTTTAATAATGAACTTTTAACAATTCCATTTAAACACTGTAGATGAAAAGAGGTTCCTTTTCTCAGCCTTTTAATTGATGTGGCATTAAAAGAAAGTGGAATCAATTTGTAGTCATTGATCATAGTCTTTTGATATGCAAAAAAAATATGCAAGCATATTTTTCATACTAGGCTGTTGCTCAGTAGTCTGTTTTGAGCAACAGTCTTGGTGCTCTGTAACTTCAGTATTCCAGCAATTCCAGCATTCTTATGGTTTGCTAGTTCATAAGAAAAATAAAGACCCTCCCAGTTTTTAGTTTACACAGTCTGAAATACAAGCATAAGAGCTTGCACAGTAATGAAAAATGTAGCTACCTGTGTTTCCCAGAAAAAGCAGTGACCTGGCTAACACTGGAGTAGTATCTTTAAATAAAGGTCAGAGGCTTGGACACCAATCTGTGAAGCGACTCCAGTTAAGTGACACATCAGTACAATGCGACGAAAGCAAAAGTTTAGTCTTGTATTTCTTACAGGTAGATCATACTTAACATGAGTGTTCATTCCACTTACATGAAGTGTCACCCAGCCATAAAAATAGTCAATGCTTTGCTGGATCTGTACAAGCCACTTAAACGTTCCACTTTCTTTTATGTTTGAAGAGCCTACTGTGTAGGGATGATATAAGGATTGACTCTTTGGCTGAAGTTTAACGAGCTGTATATGTGGAAATCAAACTATAGTTTTAACTCTTGAAGGCATTAGAGACCTCTATTGGAAAAATATTATGGAATTTACTGTTACAAGGTGGGGGGACACAGAGATCTCCAAGCAAGGGGAAACTTGGATTTTTTGTTCACTTTAATTGTACTTGACTTAACAAAAGATAGGCAGATGCAGTGAAAGAAATTAAACCACTGTATTTTATGCCTAGATGTAATACTGAAGGATGTGGAAAGTGCTTTTCTACTCCAAGTCGACTAAAGCGGCATGAGAAGATACATGAAGGTAAAACAGTTCTTCTTGCTTCAGTTGTATTAGCAAAGGAAAAAGGACTTGTTGCAGTACAAAGAGCATGCACAGATGTATGACAGATATGAAAGTATTCTGGGCCTGGAGATCCAGATAGATGAAACAAGAACACTTGTTTTGAATAGTCAGATGGGATACAACAAGGCATTGCAGTGTTCCATTACAGTGTATTTGTGGCGGGCTGAGCACACCTCAGGATTCCTTCAGTCATTACTTCTCCTGAGGTGCTTCGTTGTTAATAATCTGTCTTCTGGAGATGAACTCATGGTTAGTAGGCACTAGCCTAGACGTCCAGAGCTTAGCATCAGTTGCCAGTTCTGCCAAAAATTTTGTATGGAGCCTTGGCAAAACCATGTGCATTTTTAGTGATTAATGAGCCCGTGTGAAAAGTTTTTAAGTGAAATCATCGTGACATGGCCACGTATGTTTGAGCTAGTCTTGCGACCTGTCTAGTCTTTCAGTACTGTTGACAGCTAACCAGGTGTCCAGAGATAGAAAAGGCAACCAAACAAAAACCAACAAACCCAACAGACTGAAGAGTATCCAGAAAGCTGCAATTTGTACTATGTTCTTTTCCTAGGACAAGCAGTTGTCAAACAATAATGAACCTTTCCAGTGCTGGGATTTAAATAAGGTTGACTTTCTGTGATTCCTGTCTGCTTGATAGAATGATATCAATCTATCTATTCCAGAGTCTTCAGACTCTGGAATATTACTGTATGGTCAATTCCTTTTTACTAATTTGTGTTTCTTGTCCCTTGTCCCATATCTGTGTAGTATGGGAAGAGAGAAGGAATTATTGGCCTTTAATTTTCAAACACTAAAAGTGGAGTTTCCCCTTGTAAAACTGGAACTGGTTTTTGCTAGAGCCTTAGTGATTGTAAACATCTGTCCTGTCCAATAGGTTACCCATGCAAGAAAGAAGACTGCTCATATACTGCAAAAACTTGGACAGACCTTCTGAAACATAATAAAGTCAGTCACACAGGTAAACTCAAAATGCTTTAGTAAACTGAACTTTTGATACAGCTGCTAATTTTGAGAGAAGTCCTTGCTGAACTCATTTCATCAACATGTCCCTGTGTCCAAACTTGTCTACCAACACTTGAGTGGTAAAATGGTTGTTGCTCTGGCTAGACCTTAAACTGATGAAAATGCTACTCAGTATACTGACTTCGCCTTGTGATCCAGTGAACAAGAAATTGTTTAATTGGATCTGGGTAATTCATACTTTATTTTTCTCCACCAGTCTGAGTTCCTTGCTTTTCATGTGGATTTTAGCACTGTTCTAGAAGACTCGTAGGGTTTGATTCTGAGCTTCTGTACGAAACTGTTAATTTATATTCTGCCTTTCTCTCTCGCACTCAGAGCCAATAGTTTGCAGTGAGTGTTACAAGACTTTTAAACGGAAAGATTACCTCAAGCAGCATCAAAAAACACATGCTGCAGAGAGGGAAGTCCACCGATGCCCGAGGGAAGGTTGTGGAAGAACTTACACAACTTTATTTAACCTTCAAAGCCATATCCTCTCTTTTCACGAGGAGAAGAAACCATTTTCTTGTGATTATCCAGGCTGTGGAAGAGTGTTTGCAATGAAGGTATGTGTTTCCTAAAACTGTTCATAGCTGAATCACATAATCTGAAATTATATACCTAACTCTTTTTTTCCCCGTTCTTTGTAACTGTAGCAGAGCCTAGCAAGGCATGCAGTTGTACACGATCCTGAAAAGACAAAGCTGAAGTTGAAAGTAAGTTACACGCTCAGAAAAGTCTTCTCAACCATACAGTGTCACTTGAAAGGAGGGTGAACATTATGTGTTTTAGAATGTGACTTCAAGCAGGAAAACAGGTCAGCTATCTAGTTAACCGGTGAGGTTCTTAATTTCTGAAGGTCCTTTAGCTAATGCAGTCCCGGCCTATACACTTGATTTCTTCTTTCCTCACCACATTAGTAGTCTTTGTTCCATAGATACGGTAAGTTACTAATTCTGGATTTATTTCTGGCAGGCAAAGCGTTCTCGTCCTAAGAGGAGCTTAGCCTCCCATCTGAGCGGCTACATTCCCCCTAAAACACAGCCAGGAAAGGGTGCGGCAGTGATGGAAAGCAAGACCACGAATATGCTCATGGAAAATGAAATACCAGCTGTTGAAATTCTGACTCTGCAGTAAAGGTTAACTGAGACAACGTTCTTCATGGAGTGACCAGTGCAAAGCTCAACAATGAAAGACTTTGTCAAGTTAATACTTTGATTTTATTTTTTTCAATAAATTAATATTGTTTACACCTTTTCATAAAATCACTGATGCAAGTCATTTGACTTCAGATCTTCATTTTCATCTTTCTTCACTGGACTGTTCTTCTGGTTTTCCAGCTTCTGGTGTGCTTTCAACTCTTTGTCAGACATGTGTCTCAAAATGCACGTACTCACTCCTTCTCTAGTAACTTTTGGCTTGGAAAGGTAAGTGGCTTTCTCAGACACAGTCTCCAAAATCTGATCAAAAAGTGTGAACTAAAAAGGAGGAGAAAAATAGAACTAAATGCACAAGCACAAGCAGAGAAATATTTCAGGCTCTTCTGTAATGACAGGATCTCCTGTTCATGGTTTAGCTGTTAGCTGAAACAAGCTACTTGCTAGTCCTGGTTTGAGCAGTTCAGCTTGTCCTTTCCTAACTGCTCTTTACTCGTAAGCAGGTTCAGGAGAGTCACTGGAGAGGGATTAAGCGATTTCCTAACAGTTAGGCTGAACTCCTGACCCATCTTGTTTTGCTCTTTAAGGGTGTCTGTGAAAGTGGTCTGCATCTCATTCTTCCCCACCCTCCTCTTCCACTAGGTTTGGGCACATTTTTATTATTATGGGGATTTCCTCTTAAGGGGCAGCATTGTTCCATGGTTAGCAGAATGTGGTAGTATTGAACTGAGCAATACCGTGTACTCAGTGTAACAAAATGAACTATTAAGCCCATAATTAAGCCTTGAAATTTAAGGACAATATAAATCTGGTCTGTGTCATGAGATGTTCTGCTCCCTCCCATAATCAGTTCCTCCTGTTGCCCTTTCCCTTTGAATTTAAGTTCCTATAAAAAGTTTTATTCCTTTTGGATGAAGTGATACCACAATATTCCCCATCATTTTAGTAGAGACAATCACCCCTGAAACCTAATTCACTACAGACATGACAAGGAGAAAAAAAAAGTCTTACATGGAATCTTTATTTGTGGAAATGACAAGTCTCAATGCCCTGCTGTTACACTAGTGAGTAAGTTGCTACCAGTCCCCTGGAAAGTGAACATCTTGGAACATCTGCACTACAACATATCTTCAGGTATTTTAGCAGTACATGAGATAATAACTGTGGCAGTGCTGAATAGGGAATGTCAACACAACTACAGCTATTTAATGACATTGATTGGTCCAGCTTTCAGGAGTCCACTTACCATGTCTGTATCACTACCTTTTGCTTGCCGGATGGTAATTTTAACATGGTGTTTCTTTTCAATCCACTGTGCTATCTGTTTAGTCTTGATCTCTAAGTCGTTCTTGGCGATAGCTGAAGAAAAGGATAACTCCTTCTGAACCACCCCTGTTTAAAACAAAACTGTGTTGGCATAACGTTTGACAAACCTGTATTAGTTGCTCTGTTTCAACAGCTTATGGTGCCTTGTCTGCTTGACTCTCTTCCCACATGCTTCTTTCTCAGAGCATCCTGGTCTCATTGTCTCAGCTCTCTCACCTTAGAAAGGGTTACTTGATATTCTAACACTCACTGACATTACTGGGAAAGTGCATGTTTAAGGCACACAGGGAAATCTCTTCAGGGTCAGAAGGCTTAAAGTATTTTTAATTACAGTCTTGTTCATACCATCCACAATGTAGGTCTAACAAACAGGTCAGCACTGGATCTGGAATTAAAGACTTAGCCTGCACATAGCATAGCTGAATGTAAAAGCTTTGACATTAGATAGCTCTGGTGAAGTGCAATCAGCTCAAAGTATGATAATGCCTTGTAATGTATTTAAACAATTTGTGGTCTCTTCCTCCTCAAAGTTTCTCTAAAGTCATTACCATTTGAGTAATCTTCCCATGGCTTCTTGAACAGAGCAACTCACTACCATGATACTGCTCTCCTCTAAAATCAGAGCTCTACCCAAAGCACAGATATCTTCGTTAGTCTGAGGATATGAAGAGAGGATACAAGCTCACATGCCTTTTCTAAAACCTCTTTGCCAAACTCAGTTTGTTAAACTGCTGGAGCAGGCTGTCTTAAATTTACAAAAAAAACCCCAAAACTGAAAAGTGTGTTCAATATTGGAAAAGGCTGTTTTCTTTACTCTGGACTAGAAAGGGCTCCAGGCTTTGTCTTCCTGAGAGCAAGTGAGGAAGAGAGTGTTTCATGACTACTGGTGACAAGTATATTATGTCATTATATTGGTGTATCTGGCACTCAGTTTGTAAAACTGCCTGTCACTATGCCTTAGCAAAAGAACAGAACACAGAAATTCAGTGAGTCTCATGGAACCAGAGTCTAGTTATAGTAACTTAAATAAAAATATTTTTTTAAAAGCCAGCAGATGCCAAAATAGTAAATCCTGTGAAGGCAATAGGTTTCTCTGTAGAAGACTAGACTAATCCAAAATTTTATTTTCACCACTGCAAATCCTTAATAGCATGGACTGCAGGGACATTGCTTTGGATTTACACAAATGCAAGAGGATTTAATCTGCTGAAACCACTTTTAATGCAGCATTTTTCAAAGTGCTCAGTGTTGTAGTGTCTACAATGTACATACCTGGCTTTGGACTTGCTTTTTTCTTCTCTGCACGTTTAAGCTGTTCTTCATGAATCTGCTGCCCAGTCATTAGTCTGTATACTGGAGGTTCTACATTCTCACGAAGGAGAACTAGTTTCAGATTATGTTCGTCCATAAGTTTAAGAGCTTCTGCTCGGTGCATGTTTCCCAAGCTCTCTCCATCCTGGTTGATTACATGCACAATGCGATAGGGAATTCTTCGCCCAACACTTCCAAATGCCGCTGTCGTTTTTGGTTCCTTGTGAGATTTTTCAGCTGTACAAAACGGTTGAGTAAGTCCAAACACAGCTGACTTTCTAGGGTCAGGTACCAGTATCGAGAATGGAGAAAAGAACCGCTTTTGTGGTGTCTGTGGCAGAAGAGTACCAAAGAACCTTTTTGCATATCTGCTCTCATTTCTGGTTGCTTGACATAAATGTCTGATTGTGCACAAGGCAGTCATTCTGAGGAAGAAATAAAAACAGGTTACCTCATCTGTCAGATCTTCTAGTTGCATTAGAATTTTCTAACAACTGCAAATGAGCAAACTGTGAGTATTATCTGCAGGTTTAGTCTTCTATGTTTAAAGGGGAGCAAGTACAGGAAGAGCCAAAGATGATACAGGAAACCAAACACATACCATTACCAGAGGAGGTGGCAAGTGTGACCTCTTTTGTCCAGGAAGGAACGTGATTCCACTCTATAAATACATACATGCATACGCATATATAGATGACATTGTGTAAACATGTATCCATGTGCAAGCGTACACATGGAAAAAGTGCAAACCTTCAGCAAGAATAAGGAACTATTGATACTTCTGAGCAGTGTTGGCCCAGGAACAAGTAAAATGACCTGCCTGCAAATAAACTTAGTCTGAAACTGGGTACAGTTTGGAGCCAGTAATGGACTTCGTATCTAGGCAGTAGGGGCGAAGTCCACATAAACTGCTTGAAGATGGTGCTGGATCAGTTCATGAACAGGGAAGTGTGATACAGCCGTGTGCTACAGCAGGATCCCAAACTTAAGCTAGCCACAAGGCACAGAAGAGAAATAACAGAATATCCACAGCAGAGTCTAACAACAGCTGGTAAGAGCTACTGTCCCTTCCTGCCCTGGGCTTTACTTCTGCCAAGTCCAGACCAGAGCCATGACCCCTGGGAAAACAGCCTTTTTTTTCAGCTGTGACTAGAGCCCTACAACTAAATACCCACTGTCAACCCACAAGTACCTTTGTGCAACATCAGGGCAGCCACACAAAAGCCAAGATGTCCTTATTTTTAAAATGGTTTTGTAAACCAGCTCTGGGTCACGCACTGCAGACTTAGACTGTAATCTGGGCATCACTGCTGCATTATAAAATGATATATTTATCATCCATTCAGAGGGGTCTGGCTTGCCTTCTACAGCTACTGACTTCTAAAACTAAGCAGTGGTATCACAGCAATGGAGTAGCAGTTTACTTTTAAAGAAATGTTACTCTTGCTCTGTTCAATACATGATTTTGCCCTTTTTATGGAAGGATTTTTCTTCAAGCAACATGCCAGGTATGTGTATTTTGCTTTGTGCATTTTGGACAGTTACACAGCCCATGCATTGGCAAGGAAGGCTGATTTCCCTGGGGGGGGTGTTCTAATGAACAGGCAGCTCCAGGTGTACTGAGAACTGCAGGACCAGCAGTGGTTCCCATGCCAGCAGGATGTGTTTGGCCACAGGTGCACACAGCATGCTATGGTTTGCATCCTGTGGGAGCTGCTGCTATGTGTGTCCCTCATGTAAACAAGATGCTATTTTCACAGAATCACACACTATTTGGAGTTGGAAGGGATCCTTGAGGATCATTGAGTCCAGCTCTTGGCTCTGCTCAGGGCATCCCTGATAATCACACCATGTGCCTGAGAGCACTGTCCAAATGCCTCTGTGACTCTCTCAGGCTTGGTGCTGTGGCCACTGCCCTGGGGAGCTGTTCCACTGCTCAGCCACCCTCTGGGGGAAGAGCCTTTTTCTAGTATCTAACCTAAACCTACCCTGACACAACTTCAGGCCATTCCTTTGGGTCCTGTCACTGGTCACCAGAGAGAAGACATCAGTGCCTGACCATGCACTTCCTTTCATGAGGAAGTTGTATACAGTGATGAGGTCTCCCCTCAGCCTCTTCTCCAGGCTGAACAGACCAAGTGACCTCAGCAGCTCCTCCTATGGCTTCCCCTCAAGGACCTTCACCATCTTCATTGTCTCGTTTGGAGACACTCTAAGGACTTAATACCTTTCTAACATTGTGGTGCCCTAAACTGCACACAATACTCAAGGTGAGGCTGCACCAGCACAGAGCAGAGCAGGACAACTACCTCCCTCGGCCGGCTGGCAATGCCGTGCCTGCTGCGCCCCAGGGCACACACGGCGGAAGGTGCACACCGCCGGCTCAGCGGGACAGCGAGCGTGGATTGGTGCGGGGCGCAGGACTGTGTGTGCTGTGTGCCCTGCCCCGGCCCCTGTGCCCGGCCCGGGCCGTGTGCCGGGCGAGG